ATTTTAGAAAATATTTGCTGATTTGTGTGTGTGTGTGTGTGTGTGTGTGTGTGTGTGTGTGTGTGTGTGTGTGTGTGTGTGTGTGTGTGTGTGTGTGTGTGCGTGCATGTGCGTGCGTGTGCGTGCGTGTGCGTGTGTGTGTGTGTGTGTGTGTGAGTGTGTGTGTGTGTGTCTGTCGTGGGTGTGTGTAAACACGGCCACCCCGTATATACGGGAAACAAGAACATCACATCTGTCATATCGTGACAGGTTAGCAACAGTTTAAACATAGTGGGTCTTTTAGCCATCAACTCATCTGTGAGGATGCAAGAGGTTTTTGTGATTTAGGCTATGGGGGAGCATTTTAGTAATTAAAGTTAGTAATTAAGGTTAGTGATGGCTGTTGAGGACAGCCATAGGGGGGGTGCATGCCCTGAAGCGCGTTTTTCGTCGCTTCGCACCCATAGCAGCTCGTAAGAGGGATGTAGCTCCATGTTAGTTTGTAGGTCAGGGAGGTTAGGGGGAGGTGAGGGAAGAGGGGGCTTGGGGAAGGTTAGGGGTATGTTCGAGTGAACTGTGAACCCATACCTGTGAGCAGAATGCCTGTGAAGACGACATCTCTTCAACGGACACCATTCTCCCTCTGTGTGTTAGGTCGCTCGTAGAACGCAATGGAGCCCAACGATGGCAGGAGGGGATTAAAGAGTGTGTTAGCGATGGCGTTGTAGGTCCACGAGCATTACGTCGCTCGTGCTTGCTCGACACGCGAGCGTAGGCGAGGGGAATGAGGTGGGATCATTGCAGATCGCGTGCTCGGTGGCTGTAGGAGTGCGCAACAATCAATTGCGGGCAAGTCCGATAGCGCTGGTCAGGCTGTGGTAGATAGCAATGCAAGCTAGCACCATTGTATATAGTTGCGTGTGGATCTAACTTGGAAGTAAGGGAATGGAAGGGGTAGTAAGCAAGGCGTATTCTAGGTATGTTTATGGGAGGGGTTTGATTCTGGGTATGTTTATGGGAGGGGTTCGATTTAATCTGATTTTAGAGGAGAGGGGGTTCTGTCATTTTTGGTTGAGGAGAGAAAATAATGTGTTTGGTCATGGCTTCTGTAGTTGAGTAGTTTGTACGAATGTGTGGGTTACGGCACGCATAACAGGACCTTGTGCATAGTTAAGGAAATAGGTAGTAGTAGGAGCGATCATATTCTAATTAGTCATTTTATTGGCTTTGAAATGCTAATGTTACGACGTATTTTTTGTGATGCATTTTGTCTCGATTCTACGTGCCAATCTCATTGGAAGTGTATCACGAGTTTTTGTTTTTCAGAAACTTTCTCTGCGGGGTGTACCTGGAAACGTCTCGTCGTTTGTGTATGTCATTCCGTCACCATATGCATGTTTTTTTGCAGTATGTTTATGCAGTAGTGGGAGCGGTCGCAGTCTAATTAGTTGTTTTATAGTGGGTTTATACTGCTTGTGCTAAGGCTGTTATTTCGTGATGTAGTTTATCGGAACTTTATCCTTATCTTTCATGCCATTCTACTTAGAGGTGCATCACGAGTTTTTGTTTTTTCTGCAGGGTGTTCCAGAGAAAAATATTGTCGTTTGTGTATCTTAGTCTGTTGTTATATGCTTTTGTTTTTTTTTATTTTCCTCGTTTTTTTTTTTCCCCTTTTTTTCGTTTTTTTTTTTCGTTTTTTTTTTTTTTTTTTTTTTTTTTTTTTTTTTTTTTCCCTTTTTTTTTTTTTTTTTTTTTTCGTTTTTTTTTTTCGTTTTTTTTTTTTTCGTTTCTCCCCCCCCCCCTTAATCTCAATCATATTAGGGCCCAGTGCCCAAGGCAATATACACAAAATGATGGGGTTCCAGACTCAGGGGCAGCCATGTCTCCAATCCTTCTGCATGAGGCGGAGCCCCCCCCCTTGTAACAAATAGTCTCTGTAGTCAAAAAAGGAAGAAATTAAAAAAGGAAGAAATTAAAAAAGGAAGAAATTAAAAAAGGCGAAAAGAGCTAAAAGAGCTGATAGAGAAACTAACAAAATACTACAACTATTGTAGGAAAGGTCCAAACCGAATGTCTCCAGTACAAGCATCTATGGATGCCAAGGATGGACAGCTTGCCTAGTGTTGACGAAACCACCGGACACCTGCACACAAGTTCCTTGATGAGCCAATCTTTTTACCCCAATCCAAACAGATGACATGGTGTATGTCCTTCTTTAGTCGTTGCATCACTTGCGGGGCCGACAGGAGATCTGCAGATCTGACTACAACATTTCGGTGTCGCCATATTTGCCACAGAATAGCCGCCCTGACTATTTCGTAGATATAAGTTTGCGGTTTGGTGAGATGTAACAGTGCCGTTCCCAGCAGGATAGCATTGGTGGACCACAAATCTCCCCATGTTTTTTTTCGTTTTTTTCGCTTTTTTTTATTTTTTTCATTTTTTTTGTTTTTTCACGGTATTCTTTACGCAGTGAGATAGTTTTTTATTTTTTGTATTTGTGCACGTAACTGTGTCTATATGTGAGTGCCATAATTTTTATTTTGCAAAAGTTAGTGTATAGGTATCGGGGTTATTGTAGAGAAGTTCTTTAGCCGAGTTTCTGAGGCACCATCGGCTAAGGATATCATCATTCTGGCGAGTATGATTTTGGGATAAGCTTATTCAAAGATGACCAACTTGTAAAAGGAATTAAATCTTTATCCATTTGATTTGAGTCACATAATTTTTATGTTTTGTGTAGAAGTTAGTATATATAACTGTAGCCAGGGTAACCCTCGTTCGGGATGGGCCGAACGCCCAAACCCGAACGCCCAAACCCGAACGCCCGAATGTATGGGACGCCTTGGAGATGCCTTCGGCCGTTCGGGCCGAACGCGGACCCAAAAAAAAAAAAAGAAAAAAAAAAAAAGTCATCAAAACAATATGAAAAACAAATATGTTATGGAGAAAAATAAATTAAACAAGATTTCCCTGAGCATTACATCCGAATTCCTTACCAATTTTGAAATAAAAATAAAATACAAAAAATAAATACTAAAAATAAAAATAAATAAAGATAAAAAGATAATTAAATTTAGTGCGTGCGCGAGCATGTTTTCGACACCGCCATATTTGGCGTTTTTCTTTTTTTTTTTGGCAAAGCTAAATGCCCTGAAAATTTACAGATGTGTTCTTCACATAATACAAAACCCACTAAAAAAGTTTCAAA